TCGATAAAGTTCAATACTGTGCATGTTGTTTGACGTTCCTAACAGAACCCAACAATCAGCACTACCTTCAATTTCAGCAGTTCAGGTGGGGACTCAGACTAAATACTACATTGATTATAATTACTCTACCATGTTTGAGGTATGTATTATCAGTATCCGCTCGGAATGGTCGCCGGTCCATTATGGGTTCTAGTGGCCTTAATCTACCCACTAGAGTGTGCACATGGTGTCCGGCTTTGCCGGCAGATGTTCAGTTCAGACAGGTGACTTATGTCACGAGATCAGTATCAGATTATTCAGACCGGTATCAGATATTAGTTCAGTTTCAGTTCAGTTATATATGCCAGGATCATGATATTGTTATTATTTCCACTATTTTACTTTAGTATGAGTTTCTGCGGAGCACAGTGTTTTAGTGCTCACGCCCCCACGTATTTCATGTTTTTCATGTCACAGTGTCGGGGACGAGGAGTGAGCTGACGGGCTGTTCAAGATATTTGTTTTGATATGTATATGTTATGTTTTGGCCACGCTACATTTCCGTTACAGTTTTCCGTACTTAAACTCAACTTTTGATCCGACGTTAGTCGGTTAATACATTATATAATTATTTTTATTACCAGTTTAAAATTAACGGTTTTTTAGATTAAAGTCAGATTTTCACGGTAGCACTCCGGATCAGTTTTCGCAAAATAAATATTTTATTCATTTATTCAGAAAAATTTGTGAAGAAGCGTACTCTGATTTCAGTATAATAGCAGGGTGTTACAATTGGTATCAGAGCACGTTTCTGCGTCTCTAAAAATTTTTATAAGTCAGAAATTTTCAGAAAAACCTGAACCGTCACGCTCACGCCTCGCCGACTACAGGTAAGTGCTGATTATGTTTTCAGTTATAAACATATTACTTTTCCTATGCTCAGAAATTATAAAATCATGACTTAGTTAAGATGCTCGGATCAGAACCAGACCTTAGAATTCAGTGTACTCAGATATAACTCTAGACGGCTTCAGGATCTATATCAGTATTTTTCAGCCATTTTTGGCAACTTGTCAAGAGATCTGTGTACTTTAGAAATCAGTCAGAATATTATTCATGGGTTCAATAATTTGAACTTTTTCAATGATCAGATGTCGCCGCGTAGGGAACCCGATCACCCGGTTCTTCCCTAGGCTACTATAGTCGCACAGTTTCGCGGTTTTCATGGTTTTCATGGTCCGGACTCCCTTGAACACTCCGCCGGCTAGAGGACAAGGCGCACGGATACTTATGCCAGCCTGGACAAAAATGGACGCACGGACTACACGCAAGCCTCGAACATTCCGCCCACCTTGCTCGCGCGGCGTTCACGGACGCGGGTGGCGCA